TCGCCTCAACTTATGAACCGGATCCGCGGCCATTTTCTGCCCGTTCCACGTGGTCTGCGGCCATTTTTCCGCCCTTGCCACGTGGTCTGCGGCCATTTTTCCGCCCGTGCCATGTGGTCCGCGGCCATTTTCCCGCCCTTGACACGTGGTCCGCGGCCATTTTTCCGCCCTTGACACGTGGTCCGCAGTCATTTTTCCGCCCGACACGTGGTCCGCGGCCATTTTTCTGCCCGACACGTGGTCCGTCGCCATTTTTCCACCCTGCCACGTGGTCCGCGGCCATTTTCCTGCCCTTGACACGTGGTCTGCGGCCATTTTCCCGCCCGACACGTGGTCCGTGGCCATTTTCCCGCCCGTGCCGCATGGTCCGCGGCCATTTTCCTGCCCTTGACACGTGGTCTGCGGCCATTTTCCCGCCCGACACGTGGTCCGTGGCCATTTTCCCGCCCGTGCCGCATGGTCCGCGGCCATTTTCCTGCCCTTGACACGTGGTCTGCGGCCATTTTCCCGCCCGACACGTGGTCCGTGGCCATTTTCCCGCCCGTGCCGCATGGTCCGCGGCCATTTTCCTGCCCTTGACACGTGGTCTGCGGCCATTTTCCCGCCCGACACGTGGTCCGTGGCCATTTTTCCCCCCTGCCACGTGGTCCGCGGCCATTTTTCCACCCCTGACGTATGGTCCGCGGACGCCGGAACGGATTAACGGTAATTACATTGAACCTTATGGGAAAAATTGCCTCGGGTTGCGACCAATTCAAGTTGCAACCAGAGTCACGGAACGGATTAAATTCGTAACTCGAGGTTCCACTGTACAAAGTTAATTCTATATATTTTAAGGGAATATAAGATTTAGTAATATTTAATTGAAAAATAACAGGTTGGAAAGGAAATCCAGCTTTTAAAATGTATTTCATTCTATTACAATCACCTTCCAAAATTATTGATTTTTATAACTTATTTAGAGTGACTTCTATTGAAATCAGTGTGCCTTACTTCTGGGCAAATATACCAAATATTGGGCCATATGCTATATATCTAGCTGGTGGTGTAAAGCCATGCACTAGCCACGTACTTCTCACTTCAGACATGAATCCAACTGGTATTATCAGACAAGCCATTATTTCTAATTCTCAGAGTAATATTTATTTATTAAATAGAGTTGCATAGTGCTTCCTGTGCTGCATCTCAAAGTGGTTTACAACAAAAAACAGCAACAAGATATACCAAATGATCCGTGTGACTGATCGCTGTTGGACTTAGAACTGCTGCCCTAAGAACTATGTAACTTCTGAGTAAAATTTAAATTAGGCTGGAAGTAGTTAAGTTTTGTTGTTAAGATGTTCCTTGCTTCCTCATCCCAGAACTAATTTCCTTCTGGGATCCACTAATAGTAAAAGAAGAGCTGGATTAGCTTAACTGAGAATGCATCAGCCATTGGTTGACAAAGGCATCACTCACTGGTTTTGTCCTGCAGTTATTCTTATTACACGGACAGCAACATGAATAGGCAGGACTGCTCATGTGTCCTAATTCCGCTGTTGTCTCTGGTAAACTTATTTCATTGGATTTAACTTCCAAAGCATCATGAGAAGAATACCCGCGATTTGGAGAATGGTGCACGCAATTTGGAGAAAGGTGGGTGCTGCCTCGTGAGGTTTTGAAAGGCCTCAGAAGCCTTCTAAAGCATTGCATGAATGGTGTGCGCAACCTTGGGAAGAAGGTCTGGCGTGGCCAGCAGCTTCCTTGTATAGAGCCAGGCTGTGTGTGCCTTGTCGGCAGCAGGAGGAAGCAGATGGCAAAGGTCAGCTGGGCACAGCAGGGCCGGTGGAGCACAGGGTAGCGGGGGCATCTGGGCTTTGTGCTCTAGTGCTGAAGTAGCTGGTCATGGTGTGGGGCTTAGGTGGCACTTCTCATTGATGGTGGCAGTGCTGGTGACACTGGGGCTGAAGTAGAGGTCCAGGAGTGGCACGGCCAGTGGAGATTGCTGAAGGCCCTAGGCCTCTACTTCAGCCCCAGTGATGCTGCTGCCAAGGAGTGCTGCTGTGCAGGGTGGCCAAACGGCAGAGATGGGGGGAGGTAGGTGGGTGGGGGGAGTTCAAGAGGCAGTCCCTTACCTTACCAAAGCTCGGGGCTGAGAGGTACCAAGCCAGGAATGGCTTGGATCGGGATGGCTCCTTGCCTAATGACTGGTGGGATTTGGTTAATGGGGGATTGCCATTGCTAAGCAACATGGTCATGGGTCATCACGCTTTATAACTGGATTGCTTAGTGATGGAAATTCCAATCCCAATTACCGTTGTTAACCAAGGACTACTTGTATCCCAATTTCACTCTTGAATTAACTCAGAAATTATTTCTTATCTTCCATTTCCTCTCAAAAAGATAATTTCTCTAAACTAACTTTCCCCAAAGTTGGCAAAATGCTGTATATTCCTACCAGCTCTTTTTTTCATAATATTTTTTATTAAAGTTTATATATATAAAAGCTAATACAAAACTTTAAGGCCTACAGATAAAAAGAAAAAGAAAGAGGATAGAGAAAGATATATCAAAGATGATTTCCCTCTCCCTGCAAACAAGTACATGCATTAACAGTAACTTAACACCTTCTCTAATATTACAGAAAAAATCCCTCTTCATCCTAAAACAATAACCAAATTATAAAAAATACTCAACAATCAA